ACATTAAAAGAGCAAGAAGCCTCCACATCATGTGCCACATCCCCGTCTTCTGCTGGATCTCATCCACTGTGCTTCAGAAGCTCCTGGAAGAAGATCTGAGTGCAGAAATCCCTCAAACTCTGACTGAAATGTACATCCACTTCCTGCTGACTCAGATCAACATGAAGAGTCAGAAGTATGATGGGAAAGATCCAGAGAAACCCCTGAAGTCCAACAGAGATGTGATTGTGAAACTTGCTAAACTGGCTTTCAAACAGCTGATGAAGGGCAATGTGATGTTCTACGAGGAGGACCTGATTGAAAGCGGCATAGACATCACTGACGCCTCAGTGTATTCTGGGATTTGCACTGAGATCTTTAAGCAGGAATCTGTGATTCATCAGAGGAAAGTTCACTGCTTCATACATCTGAGCTTTCAGGAGTTTCTAGCTGCTTTCTTTGTGTTTTACTCCCATGTAGACAAGAATGAGGAATCACTGAAGCCATTATTGAATAAAAGATATCGCTGGTACAGTCGGACAAACTCTCTGTATGAGCTACTAGAAGCAGCAGTCGATAATTCCTTACAGAGTAAAAATGGACACCTGGATCTTTTCCTGAGGTTCCTGCTGGGCGTCTCACTGGAGTTCAATCAGAGACTCTTACAGGATCTGCTGACACACACAGTGAACAGCTCAGAGACCATCAAGAGAATCACACAGTACATTAAAGCCACAATCAAGGGTGATGAAGGTCTCTCAGCTGACAGATGCATCAATCTGTTCCTCTGTCTGCTGGAAATGAAGGATCAGACTCTGTACAGAGAGATTCAGGAGTTTGTGAAATCAGAGAAACTCTTGATGAATAAACTCTCTCCGTCTCACTGCTCAACAATCGCCTACATGCTTCAGATATCAGAGGAGGTGCTGGATGAGTTTGATCTGAAGAAATACAACACATCAGATGAGGGTAGAAGGAGACTGATACCAGCTGTGGTGAACTGCAGAAAAGCTCTGTGAGTGACAATTTATGTGGTGAAACTGTATGTCTGTTTTTTTATTTATTATTATTTCCCCCATCACATTATGACACTGTTTTCCTTGAAATCAGAAGCTGTTTGAAAAAGACAAAGCTGTTTTAATAAGTTTTTAGTCTCTCCTGACTTAGTGATGTGTAACCTGTCAGACTCAGGAGTTCATTAGCATGTGCAGAGTTTTATTGTTAATTTCTTTTAATGTTTAATCACATTTTTTTGCACTTTCCCCCCTAATTTTTTCACTTTTTCCACATTTTTTTTTATCACTTTGCTTAACCTTTATTTATATATAATGCTTAAAATTCAGTTTAGCTTTACAAGAAGAATAGAGATCTACAAACATCTCCGTAAATGTGGCTGTAAAAATGACCATATAATCTTATATCGACAATACCTCACAACTGCCTCGATGTCGATTACAACAGTTAACAGATGATAATCAACAATATTAGGGGAAAAAATTGGGATTATAAATGTTGGAAGATGGCAAATGTTTAATATAGACCAATAGTTACTAATGCACTTATGTTTTTGTTAGCATTATTGATACTAATCCGGTATTATACATTTAGCATTCTTTGTACTGAATTAATTACTGTCAGTACGCTAATTGCATTTTTGCGCAGTTTTCTTTTAAAATCAAATTATGGCTTGTGTAACTGTTAAAAAAGACCTAATTAATTGCTTAAATGAAATAAAAAATGAAATATAAAATACATAAAAAACATTTTAAGTTAGTTCTGATAAATAATAAATAAAGCAGTAATTGATGTCATAAAACCACAAGTTTTGATTTAATGATCAGAAGCTATCCCACACAATTAATAAAAATGACACATGACTCTTGTAAATAAAATCATTTTATATTTTAAATTTGTTATCTGAGACTAAAGACACTGTTGTGTCCTGTGTTGACAGGTCTGTTGCGGTAGACCATTTAAAAATGTTAAACACATACAGTAAAGTGATGCTGCAGTCTCTGAAAAAAAAACAAAAAAAACAATTCATATGATGTAATTATTTAAAAAATCGTATCCCTCTATGGTACGGAGTTGCCATATGGCATCAATTAATTTCTACTCATTTCCTTGTTTTTCTGAAACAAAATACAATATATTGCACTATGACAATTAAAAGGGCAGGCCTTAAGGTAGCCAATGATGTGCTGTTTTTAAATCACATGACATTTGAATGTCCGTCCAAAACTCTTTTTCCCACTGTCACCGTCATACAGAAGACACCTGTTGAAGTGCTCTAGATATTGCTCTGTTAACCTCTTTTCTAGTGATGGAAATTTTGATTCTTTCAAGAGATTTGTTCATTTTCAGTTCGTTCACCAAAATGATTCGTTCAGATTCGTTCACTGATTGGTTCAGTGACCATTTCTTCATATTACATAAATACGCCAGCAGGTGACGAAAAAGAGTCTCTTATGTGTTGTGTCTTACGTCAACGAACGTATATTCACTTGTTACAAAAACTGATTTGGCTTTATTAAAATGTGTGCATAATCTACTCATTAAATAAATAAAGTCTAAATAAGTTGTTCAGATGACCAAAGCACAAGGTTTTCTTGCATATTAATGTTTTATTCTGCATGACTATATAGATCCCTTAATCCTACCCCATACCTAAATTTAACAACTACCTTACTAACTATTAATAAGCAGGTAATTAGGAGTTTATTGAGGGAAAACTCTTAGTTAATTGTGAATTGTGTTCCCTAATCTAAAGTGTTACCAAAAGCACACTGTAAATTGCGGGCTGTAATCTAAATCATTTGGTCAATAACAGAACAGCAAAATTGGATGAAAACTTAATCAATTTATTAAAAGATTATGAACTATGGCAACTATATGGATGGTTGTCCCGCCCACATTACTATGACAACTAACAGTATAAATGCCTACTAGCTACTTTGGCGTAAGCCTGCATGTATGAGGCTTAATGGGAAAGTCCACCCAGAAATGAAAATTCTGTCATTTACTCAACCTTTACTCATTGCATACCTACAGTATATGCATTTCTTTCTTCTGCTGAACACAAAAGAATAAATGTTGATAACCAAAATGGTTTCCATTGACTTCCTTTGTATTTTTTGTCCATATTTCTTTATTATTTTCAACGGAAAAAAAGAAAGAATTTAAATTTTTCAGTCAGGCAGGAGTAAAAAAAAAAAAATCAATTCATTTTTGTTTTTTATCGTCTATTTCTAGAAGCACTGCCTGTAAAAGGAGTTTCTATGAGAAGAGTGAGGAGAAGGAGGATGTTAAAGCAATATCTCCAGAACACAGCTGTGTGTCTATGAAGAGTAACAGATCCATGTTGAGCCCCCCTGAATTCAGTGATGGAGCAGTGACCTCTGACCCTGAGTGAGTATAAATGTAATAAACAAGGATGTTGTACAAGGAAAACATCCTGCTTGGTAAACCATGTTCTGCATTATATGTCCATTATCTATATCATCTGCCCCTCAGGTGTCTGCAGTGTATCATTCAACTACAGTATGTATGAAACAGTATCAGTCATGGAAATGTAAGGCTGTTTCGCTACCGTGGTTCAGGTTATAGGATTGCCAAATGACTGACAAACTTTATTAGAATGATGGGATAAATCAGTGTGTTCCTCGTCTAACACCAGACCCTGATACACCAATGACTGAATAGCAAAATATGTGGCAGAGCATTTCTGAAATGTGACTGTTATATTGAAATGGGTAGTACTTCAGTGTTAATATTGAATCAAAACTAGTTTGCATATACTTTGTAATTGAAAGTGTTGACTTAAGATTACAATTAAAATGGTTGCAAAAATAGATAAAATGATAAAACGTGTACAGTTAATTGTACCCAAAATGTACAAAGCAAAAAAGAAAGAGAGAAACAGAGTAGAAGAAAGAAAGTGTAGCTTTTGATGCCTCTGAGGACTTGAGTCTGGCCTAAGGCCTTTAACCTTTGTCCAGGAAGGCAGAAAGGGCGAGGAGAAGAGAAAAGCACCTGAGAAAAGAGAGCTAGAAATAAAATGGCAGAACATCAGTTATACTCTGGCTGCCTGAACTGACACTTGTGTGTGAATATATGGTATAATTTCATATTAGAGGTTCATAGTTTAGTGTGCAGGAACATTTAAATGATTCTCTCTATTTTAATACATGTTTACAGATTTTTCTGTTCATCTCTCTGTTTCTGCAGAGTGAAGAGAAATTATGTGATCAGATCAGTGACGCCCCGTCTGACCTGCACTGGCTCCAACTCTCAGACGCTTGTCAGGCAGAGAGTCAAAGACCAGCACAAAACCAGCATGAAGAACAAGTATGAAAGATTATTTGAGGGAATCAAACTACAGGAAAATCAAACCCTCCTGAACAGGATCTACACACAGCTCTACATCATAGAGGGAGAGAGTGAAGGAGTGAATGAAGAACATGAGGTTTTACAGATGGAGAAAACACCCAGAACAAAAGACACTCCAATCTACTGCAATGACATCTTTAAACCCTTACATGAACCAGGATGTGAGGAGAAAGATGAAATCAAGACTGTTCTGACTAAAGGCATCGCTGGAATTGGAAAAACTGTCTCTGTGCAGAAGTTCATTCTGGACTGGACCGAGGGAAAAGCCAATCAGGATGTAGATTTCATGTTTGTGCTTCCATTTCGAGAGCTGAACTTGATTAAAGATCACCAGTACAGTCTTCACAGACTTCTGCTGGACTTTCATTAAGATTTATAAAGTTGTGTTCATCTTTGATGGTCTGGATGAAAGCAGAATTACACTGTTTTCAGATGATTCAGATGATGTTTGTGATGTGAATGAGTCTTCATCAGTGGGTGTGTTGATGTCAAACCTCATCAGAGGAGAGCTGCTTCCCTCTGCTCTCATCTGGATCACCTCCAGACCAGCAGCAGCCAATCAGATCCCCTCAGAATACATCAACCGTGTGACAGAAATTCAGGGATTCAATGAGCCTCAGAAGGAGGAATATTTCAGGAAGAGAATCAGTGACCAGCATCAAGCCAGCAGAATCATCTCACACATCAGAAGAGCAAGAAGCCTCCACATCATGTGCCACATCCCCGTCTTCTGCTGGATCTCATCCACTGTGCTTCAGAAGCTCCTGGAAGAAGATCTGAGTGCAGAAATCCCTCAAACTCTGACTGAAATGTACATCCACTTCCTGCTGACTCAGATCAACATGAAGAGTCAGAAGTATGATGGGAAAGATCCAGAGAAACCCCTGAAGTCCAACAGAGATGTGATTGTGAAACTTGCTAAACTGGCTTTCAAACAGCTGATGAAGGGCAATGTGATGTTCTACGAGGAGGACCTGATTGAAAGCGGCATAGACATCACTGACGCCTCAGTGTATTCTGGGATTTGCACTGAGATCTTTAAGGAGGAATCTGTGATTCATCAGAGGAAAGTCTACTGCTTCATTCATCTGAGCTTTCAGGAGTTTCTTGCAGCTTTATATCTGTTTTACTTCCATGTAGTCAAGAATAATGAATCACTGAAGTTGTTTCTAAATGAATTTCACAGGAACATGTGTGAAAACACTCTGTTTGAGCTGCTAAAAGCAACAGTTAATCAATCTTTGCAGAGTAAAAATGGACACCTGGATCTTTTCCTGAGGTTCCTGCTGGGCGTCTCACTGGAGTTCAATCAGAGACTCTTACAGGATCTGCTGACACACACAGTGAACAGCTCAGAGACCATCAAGAGAATCACACAGTACATTAAAGCCACAATCAAGGGTGATGAAGGTCTCTCAGCTGACAGATGCATCAATCTGTTCCTCTGTCTGCTGGAAATGAAGGATCAGACTCTGTACAGAGAGATTCAGGAGTTTGTGAAATCAGAGAAACTCTTGATGAATAAACTCTCTCCGTCTCACTGCTCAACAATCGCCTACATGCTTCAGATATCAGAGGAGGTGCTGGATGAGTTTGATCTGAAGAAATACAACACATCAGATGAGGGTAGAAGGAGACTGATACCAGCTGTGGTGAACTGCAGAAAAGCTCTGTGAGTGACAATTTATGTGGTGAAACTGTATGTCTGTTTTTTTATTTATTATTATTTCCCCCATCACATTATGACACTGTTTTCCTTGAAATCAGAAGCTGTTTGAAAAAGACAAAGCTGTTTTAATAAGTTTTTAGTCTCTCCTGACTTAGTGATGTGTAACCTGTCAGACTCAGGAGTTCATTAGCATGTGCAGAGTTTTATTGTTAATTTCTTTTAATGTTTAATCACATTTTTTTGCACTTTCCCCCCTAATTTTTTCACTTTTTCCACATTTTTTTTTATCACTTTGCTTAACCTTTATTTATATATAATGCTTAAAATTCAGTTTAGCTTTACAAGAAGAATAGAGATCTACAAACATCTCCGTAAATGTGGCTGTAAAAATGACCATATAATCTTATATCGACAATACCTCACAACTGCCTCGATGTCGATTACAACAGTTAACAGATGATAATCAACAATATTAGGGGAAAAAATTGGGATTATAAATGTTGGAAGATGGCAAATGTTTAATATAGACCAATAGTTACTAATGCACTTATGTTTTTGTTAGCATTATTGATACTAATCCGGTATTATACATTTAGCATTCTTTGTACTGAATTAATTACTGTCAGTACGCTAATTGCATTTTTGCGCAGTTTTCTTTTAAAATCAAATTATGGCTTGTGTAACTGTTAAAAAAGACCTAATTAATTGCTTAAATGAAATAAAAAATGAAATATAAAATACATAAAAAACATTTTAAGTTAGTTCTGATAAATAATAAATAAAGCAGTAATTGATGTCATAAAACCACAAGTTTTGATTTAATGATCAGAAGCTATCCCACACAATTAATAAAAATGACACATGACTCTTGTAAATAAAATCATTTTATATTTTAAATTTGTTATCTGAGACTAAAGACACTGTTGTGTCCTGTGTTGACAGGTCTGTTGCGGTAGACCATTTAAAAATGTTAAACACATACAGTAAAGTGATGCTGCAGTCTCTGAAAAAAAAACAAAAAAAACAATTCATATGATGTAATTATTTAAAAAATCGTATCCCTCTATGGTACGGAGTTGCCATATGGCATCAATTAATTTCTACTCATTTCCTTGTTTTTCTGAAACAAAATACAATATATTGCACTATGACAATTAAAAGGGCAGGCCTTAAGGTAGACAATGATGTGCTGTTTTTAAATCACATGACATTTGAATGTCCGTCCAAAACTCTTTTTCCCACTGTCACCGTCATACAGAAGACACCTGTTGAAGTGCTCTAGATATTGCTCTGTTAACCTCTTTTCTAGTGATGGAAATTTTGATTCTTTCAAGAGATTTGTTCATTTTCAGTTCGTTCACCAAAATGATTCGTTCAGATTCGTTCACTGATTGGTTCAGTGACCATTTCTTCATATTACATAAATACGCCAGCAGGTGACGAAAAAGAGTCTCTTATGTGTTGTGTCTTACGTCAACGAACGTATATTCACTTGTTACAAAAACTGATTTGGCTTTATTAAAATGTGTGTAAATCAAAAGATTTTTCACCTATAAGTGAAAAAATTATAGCATTTTTTTTACTTGGATTTCATTAACTAGCTGCGTAACAAGAACATGACCAATTTAAGTTTATAGGACAACTAAACTATCAATTTAAACAAAAATGTACCGTCAACTACAGACGTTGCATCCATCGATTCCGCCATGTTTCTCATTGACACGCCCTCAACTCGGAAACTCGGGGCTTAAAGAAAATTTAGAGTTTCCCACTCATAATAACGACTTTGTGGTGGCGTTCAACTTGAAAATGCGATCTATCCGACATCACTTGAACGCACCATTAGACCAGGTTAGTTTCCCTGTGCTTTGATTGCTGATCGAGATTGACATGCTAAATGTCCGACTGACCAGGTACACTCTCATTCATTTCATTCATTTCCGAGATGTACCAGTTCAGTCATTTCATTCACGAACGA